TGTGTGTGTGTGTGTGGTGTGTGTGTGTGTGTGTGTGTGTGTGTGTGAGAGAGAGAGAGAGAGAGAGAGAGAGAGAGAGAGAGAGAGAGAGAGAACGTGCACACATGTGCGTGTGTCCCCCAAGCTCTATTCTAAGATTCTGGTGATAGAAACTTTGAATCTGATCTCCCTAGATTTTAGGGAGGGAGAAGGTTAGGGTGAGGCATGCAACAGGGGAATGACTCCACAGTGCCACCTCATGGGAGATCAGGAAGTACAGCTTAGGGGCTTGGGGCTTTCTCAGTTCCATGGTCCATCTTCCTCCCTAAAAAAAAGCCAAGGCTCAGGGAAAGAGGATGGGAGAATGGAGACAGGAGACAGGGCTCAGGAAGACAGAACTCCCTTTAGTGAGTCTCCTGGGCAAAAGAGTTACTGCTGTTACAGGAACTATGAGGCATTCACCTCTGACAGTCCAACATTATTGGTACAAGGACAAAGTTGAAATGGAGCTATGGCAGATGTCACACATGTTCTCAAGTTCTTTACATTTCCCTATGGCTACCGTGAGGCTGTGTGGCTCCCCACAGTGAGAAGAGAGTTGTGTCCCCAGCTCTAGAAGCTAGGTCCACTGCAGGCTCTCATGTGTGACATCAGGGAAAAGAAAGGGCTAGACACCAGGGCTGTATGGGAGTCTTTCCTCTTAGAACTCCACTGTTACCCATGCCATCTGATGATGAAAGACACATGGGATTGTTATGCCTCTAACCTGACCCCAGACATGTGAGGTGAGCCAATAACATCCTAGGCTCAAGCTAAGACAGGCCCAGCCTACTCCCTTTGACCAGGGCCATACGAGGCAGACTGACAGAGAGCAGCAGACCTGCAGGATCACGACCAAGCAACAGTGTGGTGGCATCACCATGCCATGAGTGCCTAGTTATGTATGAGATTTGATTTTGTGAGTTACATGCGAAAATAAGGAGAAGAACACAAACCAAGTTTGTACCTGAGGCAGAATGGTGATTCGGAAGGAACGACTGGAGTTCTCATCTCTCAGGTAGATAGAAATCTTAGGAAAATATGCCCATGGCGTTTCAGAATTTGTCCAGCATGCCAGCTGGACCCCCGTCCAGAAGCCATCAGAGAACTCTGGAATCTGGACAAAACAGATCCTGTGAGAAGCAGGGACCAGCCTGGAGCATCAGCTCTCTGCTTTCCTTGTCCCAGCACTAGACGCCCACAGGGACAAACAACATCTCGTTGTTTGTGACATGGACATCAGCCTTCTGGAAGAGTGACGGTGAGGCAATGACACAATAATAATTATTAAAACTGCTAAGACACCCAGATCACTTCCCGGGACCGGGAACTGTTATATAAACACCTAGCAAATGACTACTTGAGTCTTCCCACACATCAACCTGTGTGTGTGTTTGTGTGTGTGTGTGTGTTGGTGTTCCCTTTTACATTATCAGGGAGGGACCAAAGCACAGAGAGGTGTGACAGCTTTCCCAAGGCTGTACAGCAGCAAGCATTTGAAAGAAACAAATTCTAAACATACCTATTGTAGTTTCATTTCTGCTGTTGTGATAAAATACCTTGACAAAAAGCAACTTAGGGGAAAGGGAATTATTATTCCTCTTACAATTCAAATTAGTTCATTATAGCAACCAAGTGACAGTGGTGAGAGGGTGAAGCAGCTAGTCACATTATATTCACAGTTGAGCACAGAGAGAAACTGACTTGTGCTGACCAACTGCCTTCATCCAGTTTCTCCTCTCTCACACAATTCAGAAGGGCCTGGCTAGGGAATGGTTCTGCCTACAGTGGGCTGGGTACTTTATATCCATGAACAACCTAGACATCCCCACAGACATGCCCACAGCCCAACCTGATAATTCTTCAGTTGCATTTCTCTTCCCATGTATAGTTTATGTCAACAAGATAGTTAAGGCCCCTGGAACATTGCCTGCCTGGGACTCCAGGCATTCATTAGACTAGTTGCTTCCTAGTGCAGGGTTCTTAAACACCTTTCTTGAGACCTCAGTCTAGACTCCACCTCCTCCAGGAAACCTCCCTGACTCCTGAATTAACAATAGCACACTGCTCTGGCCATCTCCCATTTGGTCTTTCCCTGGGCAGCTCATGGTGACAAGTCTTGCTTCCTGGTAATGAATGACACTGGACCTGGACCTGGACCTAGAACTTATCAGGACAGTATCCTCTGCCTGTGCTGTATATGTCTCACTATATGGGCCTAATACCTACACAAAGACAATCCCAAGAAACAGGAAGGAAAAGGTGACAAAAGGAGGCCTCCTTTGCTTCCCGTCAAGACCTGGGAGGGTGGTACCACTCACTCATTTCCATCTATAGGGAAATTACAGCCAACTCAGCCTCAGCTTCAAGACTGTGCCTGGGTCATGTTGGTGGAAGGAATATGTCTGACAGAGCTATGGGGACCGTCACCAGTGGAGCTTCTCTGGCAAGAAGCTCAGGGCTGCAAGTGAGAGAAGGGTAGTAGGTAGAACCATAAAAAGGTGTTGACAGGAAATGGCCCTTTGAGTACCAGGCACAGAAAGAGGTGAGGAGGCTGAGAGGGAATCAAGCGCTGCTGTGAAGTGGTCAAAGCCTGCACTCCATTTACCAATATCTGTACTCAGTGCAGCTCAGGCGTGACTGAGTGGGTATGTGTGCAGCTCAGCTGCGCTCTGAGTTCCCTGAGCTCTAGGGAATGCCTGGGCTAGATAGGTACCGTAGAGTCACTAGCTGACATAAGTGAGGGTGACAGGCTGTTCCCGAGATTGGGAGAAGCCAGGGCCAGGGCCGGTCCTGAGAAGCAGGTTGGCACCTACATCCTGAATGCTGGGTGGGTGCTGGGTGCAACAGTGGCACATGCTAGGTGCCACCACTCACCTCTGGGGCATGAAGTCACCTGTTAATCCTCCCACAAAGTCAGGATGGACTTGTAAGGTTTCTAACGCTGTTAATACACTTTTGTCTTTTACAGAAGTGATGGCTCACCAATAGAATCATAGGATCCTTTCCCTGATGAGATAATCACTCATCACCTGGCTGGATTTGACAGAAGTAAGAGTGCCTGGGCCTCCAGGGAGTGCCAGGGTTCCAGTGAGGCACATGACCAGCTCTAACGTGTAATGAAGAGACAGTACAGATCAGATCTGGAGGTATATTTTCTGTCCCTGAAAATATGTCTGACAGACCCCCAGGGCCTGCTGTCTTCCTCAGGCCAGTTTTAAGGTTGGCAGGTTTTACAGTAAGGAGGTGCTGCGCTGAACCACAGCTGAGCAGACTGAAAATTGGGGCTCCAGAAAATCCCTTTTCTACACAGATCTAGAGACCATCCCTTTCTATATCCTGCCTGAACTACACACATGGAGTGGCAAAAGCACAGACTTTATAGTTCTTTCCAGTCTGGATCTAGCACTCTGGTTAAGTAGGAGGAAAACCCAGGCCAAGAGGATGGGTTTCCACGAGCCCTGTGGGTAAAGGGCACCAATGCCCAGCAGCCCTGTGCTGTAAGGCAAAGGACACACACTACTGGGACATGTTCCACCAAACTGTCTCCTGCCTTTCTTCCCTGACGCAGGTGCTGAATGAGGTCACACGATAATTTTAGACACAGCAAACAAATGCTGTAAGCTCCTGCCCTCTGTCTCGTGTTTTGCTTAAGTCATCAGATGCTGAGATGAACTCAGGTGCAAACCCCTTACCCCTCCACACACCTTCCCAGGCTGCATGAGAGGGCTGGCTGTGGCTCACTGGCTATACCCTGCTACTCCACACTGGTTCCCATGACTCTTAATGCTTTCAAGCTCAGAATATAAAGTCTGAAGGTTCTTACACTACTCCCGCCAAGCACATACTTATATTTAAGCACTGGGCATATGCTCCTTATTTTAAGTAGGGTCTAATTTTTAGTAAGCATTCTAACTTTACAGCATGGAAAGACTGACTTGGCATTTTTTGGGCGTGTAGCAGCTGTTGGCAAAGTCAGGGATTTGTTCTGCTTTTGGTGTGGCTGCTCTGGACCGCTGCCTGACACTGGCAACAAAACACTCTGCACACATCCTTGCCGGGTGCTCTTCCCATATAGACCCAGGCTTCTGCAATAGCCTAACCAAAGCCCTTCTTGTTCCGGAATTTCTACTGGGATCTGACACACAGCCATGGTTATACTGTCAGTGGCTGAGGTTTGGCCAACTTGGTTTCACTCTGGCCCCTTGCCAGCATCACCTGCAGGCTCTGGACACAAAATGCTCATGTTTGGTAATCTAGTGAGGGCCTTGAGTAGACATGAGAAAGACAAGGGGGGGCACCTCTCTCTGGGCACAGGGAGGTGTTAATATTGTTAAAAATCAGTTGTGAAATCTGTCAATGTTAAATTTGTATCTTAAGTATACCTATGATGTTCATATAAATAAGTAAAGATTTGGGGACAGAGCAATTTGACTTCCTCGTTAGCAACTGATGGACTGCCCCTTGCAGTTCTGCCTGTCTTAAGCAAATAAATAAGTAAATAAATAAATAAAGGGATAGATAGATAGATAGATAGATAGATAGATAGATAGATAGATAGATAAATAAATAGAATTATCAGCCTAACCAGCCAGCTGGACTGCCCTTAGGCTAGTACCAGCCACATTCCACAGATGCCTCCAGACTGTGCAAAGACTGCAGGGAACACCCTAATCCTAAAGACACAGCCTAAGCCAGGGCAGTTTGAAACAGACACGACCAGACTTTTGTTGTGGCAGGCTGGATCAACTCTAGATGACCCTGCAACTATGTTCACCTTGACAGGCAAGCAGCAGTTCCCTCGGTAGGCCAGAAAAGGTATTGTCTAAGGTGCTGAGAGGGAAGGCTAAGATTGTTCCAAATAAGTGCCTGAGATTGGTTCAGAGCAAATGACTGATAGTGATCAAATAAATGCCATGACTGGTCTAAACACCCCTTCTTGAGTTGTGCAAGCAGTCTGCTCAGCTTCACACCGGGAGCTGGCTGGAAGACCTGCTTTGGGGGCTGCCTTTCCTGGTGTTGCAGTCTTGGTCCTAATGAAAGGCCTCTCTAGGGGATCTTAATACTTTCAGAAGTACTGGGCCAAGCTAATGTGAAGAAGCAACAGCAGAGGGCAGCACTGTCGACATGGCAGCAGATAGCAGGGCGGCGTTGGCTGAACAGTTGGCAGGCCAAGCTGTGCAAGTTGAAAGGAAACTGACTGCTTCCTGGAATAAGTGCTGGGCACCCTGGCCTCCAAGTAGCCCTTGTGGGTTGTCCAGTCTGGCAGCCAAGCGATGGAAGAAGTCACAGTGGAGGAAGAGATAGACAAACATAGGTGACAGTTACAGATGACAGGTGGAAACAGAGAGAAACAGTATTAACAACCCCACAGATGGAAGCAGGGGGGCTCCCGGAAGGTTCCCTACTACCAGATAGAGGAAACTGGGTGGGGCTTAGTTTTACTTGGTACGTACCGAACATGGAGTGGTCCCCAGTTGTGGGGACTCTGGGAACTGATCCAATACTGGAAATCTGACATTACTTCCTTGAGGGATTTAATATCATGGCATTGTGGGGAGGTGGCTGAGGAGGGAGGTGCAGCCCAGCTGAAGAGAGCACTGAGGAGGGTCTAGAGCTTTATAATGCCCTGCCCCCACCTCCCGGGTCCCCTTTCTCTGTGTCCCGGCTGGCATGATATGAGCTTTTCTGCTCTGCTTCAGTCTCCCCATCATGACAGGCTGACACCTTGGAAACCACGAATAACATGAATCCTTCTGTGAGGTATGTGTCCCTGTCATGAAGAGTAACTAATGGACACACCCCCCATGCTTCCATGCGTGCAGTGCAAGACATCACAAGTGCAGGTACAACTGCAAGTGTGTACATGAGTGTTGCGCTGGCTGGCCTCAAGTCAACTTTATGCAGACCTAGACACGCATTTCCTTGGTTGACAACTGATGTAGGAAGACCCAGCTTTCCATGGGCAGGGCCGCCCTGCCTGTGCGAGTGGTCCTGGGTGCTGTAAGCAGGCTGAGTAGGCCACCAGGAGCAAGCCAGTAAGTAGTGCTTCTCCTTGGCCTCTGCATCAGCTCCTGCTCTGACTTTCCTCAGTGACTGTAATCTAAAAGTTGAAGCTGAAATAAATCCTTTCTTCCCCAAGTTTCTTTTGGTCATGCTGTTTTGTCACAGAAACCCTAACTAAGACATGGATGGAGGCCTGAAGTTGACATGCGTGCCTTCCTCAATAGCTCTTACTTTATTGAGGTGGGGTCTCTTGCTGAACTTGGAACATCAATTCTAGCATATCTCGCTAGCCAGCCTGCTCTGGTGAACCTTTCTCTGCCTCCCCAGTACAGATTTCCAGGAGCCACCATGCCTGCTTTGACACGGTATCTCAGGATTCTGAGTTCCAGTTCTCATGCTCACACAGCAGCCTCTTTATCCACTGAGCCATCTCCCCTTCCCTGGACAGGTGCTTTTGGTCTATACTATTGGTGTGCACTGACTGGAAAAGTGGGATAATGCTGGGAGAGACAGTAGGCATGCCTCAAAAGCTATGTAGCTTCTGACGGCTAGTTTGCTGCTAGCAGCCAGCCAATGTTGGTTTGCTGTGAGTCAATCTGTTAAATCATAGATACTCATTCTTAGTTCCGTTTCTTTAGAGAACCCTGACTAACACACTGCCCTCAAACAGGATATATTTACATTTTAGGACATGGCCTTCAAACAAGTGTTATTTTCACCAACTGGCTTGCTTGTATAAGATGTTTAGATGCCCTTCCAGTTTGGATGAAGAGCAAAGAGGGAGCAGATTTGGGGCTTATTTGTTTTGTTTTAAAGGACACAAATGCAATTGTGTACTTTTCCTGATACTTTAGTACATGGCTATGAGCTAGATAAGTTTTTCTGTCAATGACAGCATAAATTAACAGTGGTGCTCCAAGACTGTAATGTAGGGAGACATCCTATCGTCATGAGATGTCACAGCCATTGTGTCATCACAGCCCAGTGCTTGCTTACGGACCTGTGGTGGTGCTGCAGTGAGCATACGTACCATATTGTGCTGACAGCTGTGCAAAAGCCGAGTGACACAATTTGAGTGAAGAGTGACAGCAAACGCTGTGTAGCTGGCTTATGCATCGAGGTACCACACTCTTCATGGTTATTTTGCGTACTTCTGCTTATACAGCTTACAGAAAGCCATGTGCTGTGGTACACAGCAGCAGCTGCGCACAGAGTGTGATTTCTGTGTTGATTTATTTTTAAGATTTTACTAATATTATCATTATTGTGGAACACACATGTGGGAAAACATACAGAAGGATCACACATGTGACATAGCATCCATGTGGAGGACAACTTTGTGGAGTTGGTTCTTGTGACCCTTCTGCCTGATGATTGGCCCACATCACTTAGTTTTGTGTAAGCATACCCCATAATGCCTGCATAACAAGACCATCACTTGGCAATGCTGTCCCCAGACCATATTTCTATCACATGGTATAACCATACTGAAGATGATTTACTCCAGATAAAAAGATTATTGTGCCAACTCAACTATCAGTTAAAACACTGGAATGTTGTGCACCCAGAACCAAACCCTCTGAAGTTGACATGAAGGTGCTGCAGATAGATTCACATTAAAGGTAATTTTATAGGCAAGATTCACAAGCAGCAGTTTTCAAAATAACTCGCTTTTTAAGCCTTTCAGGACCCCGAGTAATAATTCAGAGACTTGCAACACAGAGCCGTGTTCTAGAAAATTCCCACGTGCCCTGGGACTCACCAGGGATGTGCGTGCCACGGCTTCCACTACGGCGTTGAACACCTTCTGGGGCAGACGCAGGAGAGTGGTGCCGCTGTCCACGATGGCCTTGTCTGCATTGTACTGAAACGAGGAAGTGAGGAGGCGCTGAGCAGGGCTGTGCTCCTCATGCACAACCGTGACCCCATTTCCGTCACATAGCCACAGTAGCTCAGTGGTGACTATGCGTCATTTTATCCTCCTGAGCTCAGGCATCAGAGGCCATCCACACCCGTGTTTCCCCTTCATAGAAAAGGAACTGAGACACAAGAAAGGGACAGGACCACAATCCAGAGTTTCCAGACAGAGCTTTTGCCTTCTTGGAGCTGCTCAATTTATTCTTCTCTCATGCTGTGCAGAGAGATGAGCCACTGGACTTTGGAAATTAAAATGACCCGTTTAAAAGCTACTTCTACAAACTGCTTAAAATCCACTTTTCTATTTTCTGACCAATAGAAAAAGAGAGGACAGTTCTTGATGGTCACCTTCTATTTGCATTTGAGAAGAAAATTTAGTAACACATACACACAACACACATAACACACAGTTCGTACTCCATTTCATTTGATACAAGCCTGGATCCTTCAGTGCTAACTAAGGGTCTCTGACACTGTAGATCTGTGGACTTGGAACCCAACTCTATAGCACTGGGATAAAGCAGCATTTATTAGAAGTGTTCGTGATCATGAGAATTCAGGGTAATGTGGAGACACGTGAAAGTCAACAAGAGGGTAGGCACCATAGGGAGTTATCCAGTCACTGGCCAGTGAGCTCCAGAGTCCATTCTAAAACTGGCACATAGAACTGAGGCTTCCTTAACTTGTCCTAACTCTAATGCCATGATACAAAAGAAGCCAAATGCAGTGTGGGACTCTCAGTGACTACTGCAGGGTGCAGTATAGCAGAGTGTGTGTTTGCTTAGTGGCACTGTCAAGCTGCTGCATCTTTTGGAGTCTTCTTTCAGTTAGAGTTGTGTGTATATGTGGGGGGTAGTTTAAGGAGGAGAAAGCTGATGATGGCTTAATTTCCATTCTCTATTCTGATAAAGGTTCTTTTCAACAGAGTTGAGGGACCATCTGGCCAAGATGACTGGAGAAGATAAAATTGGACACAGTCCTCCATACTCAGAATCTTATCCTAATTTTTCCAGGAGGTTGGTAGGAGGCTATAGTGTGTGTGTGTGTGTGTGTGTGTGTGTGTGTGTGTGTGTGCTTGTGCATGTATGTAATTTACTGATTTGAATTCATTATAGATAAAGGCTCTTTGTCTTCCCATAAGGATCTTTTGAGCTACCCTGTCATATGACACACCTTCTGAGTTGATGCCCAGGTACCAGTTAAATTCTGAGGCTTCTTCAGCACCCACAGGCAAAATTCAAAAGAATAGAATACACTCACCTCTCTGCAGTCCAGGTTGAGGCTCTGGCCTCCGATTTCCAATTTCAGGATCTCTATCTGATAGTACCATTCCTCTTTAATTGGGGTATACCAGATATCTCCTTTATACAAACTTGGTTCAATTCCACCTAGGACCTGGGGGGTGGGGATAGTTACAGATGTAAGAGGTAAAAACTATGTGGCCACATCAATAGCTTCCACAGAGAAGCATTTCCTCAGGGTAAAACATCACTCAAAAGAGTTCCTTCACTTTATTCTGGTGCTCTACAGCAAACAGTAATGCTTGACAATTCCCCATTTATGGAGGGCTTGTGGTGGGGTCATTTTCTCCGTACTTTGCTCTAGTCTGATAAAGATGCTCCACTAATGTCCCTGGTATACAGCTCCAGCTTCTTGATGCTGAGAGTTCCCTCAGACAGATGTAGCAAAATAGTTAACCATGCTGACTGGCATTGATTTACTGCCTCAGAAGTCAGAGATACGGGAAACAGAGTACAAGATTTCCTAATCAAGACACTGTTTGCAAAAACAATGTTGGCCACAACCCTGTCCCTTTATAAGGAGACAACAGAAGTGCTTGGGGCAGGTGGCCTATCAGCCGAAGGCAGTATCTGCTGCTGATCCTGCTGCAGTGAGAACAGAGACTAAACACACAACCCAAAGAGGTGGCCTTCTTGTCTTCTTCCGTACCCTGACTTCCCCTGAAGGGAAGCTTGACCTGCATTATCCCATGAGGTAGACTTCCCCGAATCCATTTCATTCTAAACATCTTTATTGGGTAGTATTTGACTGTGCAGAGTTGGAACAAAGAGAAGGGAATGACGGTGGAGGAAAGGAGAGCACAGTGGTGATGTCTCCCATCAAGTATATGAAATCATAGTGTATATGAGGTGGCCTAGAGGAGGGCCACCTGCTGCACCTCCCCACTACCCCTTCCTGGCTGGTAAACGTCCCTACTGAAAGCCAGCTGTTTTATACTCTCAAAGAGCAATAAGACAACTGGGGTGGAATTTGGAGGAGCAATGAGAAGCATTTTTGTAGATGGTAAGACCTTTATTCATCTTCTAAAGGTTTTAAGACAAAGTTTATTAAATCCTTAAATTCTGTTATGGTGCCTAATATTTAGTAGCAGTTAATCATTTCCTATATGGCATCTGAACAGTACCTAAATTAGATTGTGTATCTAATAGTTCTGATTTGTTTTTAATGAAACAGAAACCTCATCAATTTGTGTTTTTTTTTTTTTATCCCCTTAAGACTGAAAGATACCCACAAGACTACCTCCGTTGGTACCAGATCCAGCTACTGGCAATCCAGCGCCGCACATCTGCATGGAGAAAATGTCTGGAATATTTGCTTGTGCCACCAACGAATCAAAGAAAGTCTCCAGAGAGCTTGATGGCTGCAGAAAGGTGGGAAAGACAATTACTGCTTTGTGACCACTGTGAAGACAAGGGTGACCTGGTGTGGTCAGCGTCTCTCTCTTTTGGAATTCTTGGTCTTTCTACTTAAAGAGTCTCATGGTTAATCAACACACATGCTTGAAACCAGGAATGATCACCCACCTTGCTTCCTCCTGTCTGGCATTTAGGTTCTGCCACAAAAGCATGACATCTCCAGGAGCTATTAGGGTGCTTCAAGCTGGTTATCACCAATTCAGGAGAGGAGCTGTGCAGACCTGTGATAGTGGGTTACTGACCTGGGCTTAGATACTTGGGGTAAGAGAAAACAGTTACTCTAGGAGTCCTACCTCCTATGTCTCTCCACCACAGCCTTCCAATATACAAATAACCATTGACCTACTAGGACTATGCACCTATATACCAGCCCCTGCTACTTCAGCTATCACAAGCTTCAACAGCGAGGATATCACTGACTGTAGGTTGCAGACCTCCTTTCCTGATGCCTCTCCTGAACAGAGCTACATGTTTGAAGAACATCTCTATTTCACAACAGTGTCCAAGGTCAAGGGTGTTCCATAAACAGCTTTGGACTAGGACAGACTAGCACTGCACATGCCATGAAGAAGCTTTCACAACTGGAAGACACAGGGCTGGCTACCATGAGTTGCCAGAATTTTGTTTTTGCTTTCATCTGAGACAGAGTTTTACTGTGTAGCCTAGGTTGCCTTTGAATTCCGCAATCCTCTTGCTTTGACCTGGAGAATAGTTGGAGTTACAGGCATGCACCACCACACCCCGCTTGGGTTGTCAGTTTTTACAGGCAAATGTAATGCTCAGCAGTGGGGGCCGAAACCCTGCCCATGGCCACTCTGAAGGAGCCACGAGAATTTGAAGCTCCATTATGAATGAGATAGGAAACATTTTTCTTTGGCCACTTCTTCCTTCCATCTCTACCCCTATAATCCTACCATGAATTTAGTACCATCTCATCATGCACTCTCTGCAGGTCTGTATGTCTTGGTAGACTGAAAGCCAAAGTCCACTGTGGGTGGGTGGGGTCTGGTGGGGACTCATAGTCCCTTTCCTGAGAAGCAGAAGAGGATGCATGCTTGTTTCATGTCTGGCCAATTCTGGAACTGGTCCTGACTTGTTCTTTGTTCACTTGTCTGGCAGATGTGATCACTGTTGCCTGACAGACTTGCTCTGGGTTTAAGAGGCCTTTAAAGTCTTTGTTGGCTAAAGGACCCAACACATGCGTAGTTCAGACATGTTAGTCTATGAGCTATTTTCCCTTAGGCCTGAGCCTCAGAATCTCCCAAGGACTAAAAAATTTAGAGTTGCTCAAAACCAACCCCAAGGGACCCAGTTCTAAGGTGTACAAGTGGGGCCTGGCATCTGTAGCAGAAGATGCCCCCAGTGGTTGTGATGCGCATGCTTTGGAGGGCTACCTGGGACCCACCAGGAGCACCCACATTAGGACCATTCCCCAGGCTTTGGCCAGCCACACTGTTTCAGAGATAACACACATGACCTGGGCCACCCAGCCAGTCCTTCTAGATGCAGTTCTGAAGCTCACTGTCAGTATCTTTGGGATTTCATGGATGAAATGATTAAAAGATCATGTGGAGAGTCTAGATGCCTCCCAAGAAACCCCACAGTTCTGTTCTCACAAAGGCTTTACACATTATTAATTCCATTTAATTTAGGGTTATTCTTCAGGATAATTGGCATTAAAAACATCTCATCCTTCACTTTCAACATCTCAAAGATATGATTTCACACTGTTAGCAGAAGGGACTTAGGAACCCAGGACTCATGCCAGTTTTCATATCTATGGAGTCTGCCCACAGTGCCAAGTACAAAGGGGCTCTTGAGCCAGTTTTGGCTCTGCAATGGGGTAAGAGTGGCTTGGGGCTCCCATTCAAGTGATCCTAAACTTCTTCATTGACGCAAGCACATGTGTAAATGGGACACAAGGGCCTCCCAGGCTCTGTCTCACAGGAACATGAGCTGAGTGGATGGCTATCTTGTGATAGCCTGGGGTCTGACAAGAACTTGGTAACCCTTGTTCTTTTTCCAGGAGACGCCAAGGGCTGGGAACTCCCCACCTGTTTCACATACACACCATGGTTAACAGACTGGAGCAGAGCAGCAGGGTGGGTGAATGATGCTTTCTGGATTGTCCTGGGCCAGACAGGTCCCCTGGTGGTTACATTCTTCCCTGAGGTAAGCTAGGGCTCAAAGTGCAGGCCTGAGCCACTGAGCCGCTGAGGTGGTGCAGGACAAGGGCAGGTGATCCCTACTGTGTTTCTCAAGTGCACACCCACCTGCCTGTCTCCCAAGGCTGGGTACAGCCCTTCTGTGATTCCACCTGCTTCTGGCAACTGCTCCGGGTAGAACCCACACTGCCTATTCTCTTTTAGACACTGTTATTTCTTCAGATTGACCCAAGTACCAAATTGGAAATGACTCAGTCCTGCCTTGCTTATCTTGGGAAAGGTCTGATTTTGTGATCAAACGTTGCAACATTTCTCCCTGGCCATTTCTGCATGGGCCATTCACAGGGCAGTTGACCATGTGCCAGTTCTGGTGTCTCCCCAGAGGCCCCAGGTGACAGTACAGCAACACGGTAGCTTGGCATTCACAGCTGACAGCTCAGTGTCAGCCACAGGCCTCGTCTTCATATGATCCTAAGAGCTTAATTGCAGGTATGTTTTCCCTTTAATGCCACTCTCATCAACATTTCTAAACAAACTGCACAATCTACAAAACTCACAATTCTGCTAAAAAAAAAAAAAAACCTTAAGTACACAAAAACAAAACAACAAAACTGAGATGGAACTATGGCTCAGTTAGTAAAGGGCTTGTTGTATAAACATGAGCATGAGGACCTGAGGGGGATTCCCCAGGATTCATGTGAAAAAGCTAGAAACAGCAACACACGCACACAGTTCCAGCACTGAGGAAGTGGGCTAGGAGGCTTTCTGGGGTTTGCTGGCCAGTCGGCCTAACTGAATGGGCAAATTACTGGTTCACTGAGAGACAGTCTCAAAAAGACAAGGTGCAAAATGACTGAGGAAAGCACTTGGTGCCAAACTCTGCTCTCTCTGCATTTTGTGACCTCAACACCTACACACACACACACACACACACACACACACACACACACACACACACCTAAAATTGTATCTTAAAGGGAATTACCCTAAGCTGCAAAAAAGTCTGGAAACTTTATATGCAAATGCTCATCTCTACTCGCTATGTGATTTTTAGCAACTACCACTCAGGACAACCCAGGACCCTTTAATGACTGGTTTTCATAGCTTCATCGTTCTGTCTGATTAACTGGAACAGAAAGACCTGCCTTACCTTGGCCAAAGCAGCATAAGCAAGTCCAAGAATTCCATTCCATTTAATCCCAGGCAAAAAGAAATTCTCAGACTCAAAAATAGTGGCAATATTGACCAAGAATGAGCTGTTGAAGCCTTTTGGGATGGTGACAACATCCTCTCCAACGAAGCCAGTCCAGCTGCCCTGTGTATACTTCACAGTGACATCAAAGCCCTTTGGGTGGTACGTGCTGGATCTGCAGAAGAAGAGGAAGGTCAGTGATACTCCCTGTATAAGCCTATGCTGTTTGAACCACAGCTGGGACACAGCTGCTCATCATGGTTTACAGTCCTATACAGTCTATAGAAAGTGGTGCTCAGCCAAAAGTGGCGTCCATGTTGACCAAGGCACCATTTTCCAGACATAAGCAAGGGCAATTTGAGAACTGTTGCCATGCCACATGGAAGGGATGCCATGAGGTTGACATGAAACCCTGAAGTTGAAGTCTTGGCCCATGCTTAAGCCAAACCACCCACAGGCCTTATCTGGAGTCAGGCACTTCACTGAGCCACATCATCTGAAGGACACAACTGGGCACACACTGGACCATCTGGTTTTGCAGAATTACTGGGCTTGATCTCTACACAGAGAGGGGCTATGTCATAGACTAGGAAGTTCTGTGTGGGAGCGAGATTCATACAAGTCCAGTGAAGTGACAAGACCAAGCCCAGGTCTCTCTGTGTCCCCATTGCCTGACAGGTGATTTTGCTTTCAGAATGCAGTTGACAAAGCTGATGACATGCTGTGGGGCAGGGTACTGTGATGTGAACCAGAACTTCAAATGTGTGTACCCCTAAGGCTAGACAAGGTCAAAGAAGCGCAGTCAGGCAATGGAGAGGTAGATGGGAGTCCTCCTTCTCCAGATTGCTACATGAGGAGAGACAGCATGCATGTGAGGACATAAAATGTAAGGCAAGACGAATGAATCAGAGCAAATGGAGGCTAAGGCAGAGTGAGGACCTCTGATAGGAGGCCACTTGTTGGATACCTCAGAGGAGACAGTGGACTATCAGGCTGTCTGGGAGAGGACGCCCTGTGTCAGGCTCTGGAGTCTCTAACCATGTAAGGTCATTCATACACTGTATCAGTCTACCCAAAGAAGACAGTGAGCATTCAAGCCAGGTTCCCTGATGAAAATGACCCAGTTCCTAAGGGAGTGTCAGGTCACCAAGTATTTCCCAAGACTCTGTTTGCCCACAGTCTTAGTCCACTGAGTTTTAGTATTAACTCTGCAACAGAAACTCAAGTTAATATATCTCTGTTTTCTTTTATAATCAAGAAAAGAAACGGGAAGTGAACACTGTGTGCACAAGTGTGACAGTAAATCTTCACTATTGATCAGAACAGGTTTAGAATCAGCTAGGAGACACACCTCCATCTGAGATGGCTTTTCTGAAGGCGTTTAACTGAGGCTGAGAAACCCACTCCTAATGTGGGCATCACTGTTACATGGGCTGGGGCCCCAGAGAATAAAAAGGGTTAGGAGAGAAATCATGACCACCAGCATTCCTCTCTCTCTGCTTCCTGCCCGCAGTTGCAAGGAAACCAGCTGCCTCATGTTCCAGCTGCCGTGATGTATGATGCTGAGTGTGAACGGTCACCCTGATAGACCTAGAATCACATGGAGATGGAGCTTGCCTGTAGGTGGATTCCCTTGATTTGGTTCACTGAAGTGGGAAGACCGGCGCCCTGGGGGTGGAAGCAGTCCTTGAGCAGGACGGATCTGGGATCATACAAATTGAGGTGAAGTAAACAGTAGGAAGCAAACACTCTCTTCTTGACAATGGATAGGAAGTGATCAGCCACTTCAAGCTCCTGCTGCCTAGACTTCCCCTCATGACTGTGAGCTAAAGCACACCTGTCCTCTCTCCCTTAAGTTGCTTTGTCTGCAGATTTCATCACAGCAAAGGCAAAGACACTGAAGCAGACTGTAGCCTCACATTGTATTATATTGAGACAATATAACCCTTTCTTTGTTTTTTAATATCATAATTGATTTTTTATTTCAAAAATACAGGAAGCAATCTCTAGCATATTTTATAAAAGTACTGTCACATCAAACATTTTATATAATTTAATTCCAATAAAGAGTTGTTCCCCCTTTCCTTTTAAGTACTATTTCTAACTGACGGGACATGAGTCCTTAAAATAGAAAGTTTCCATCATTTATCCAAATGTCAAAATTAAGATTTTTTTTTTTGAGAAGTTCATTGCTTTATGGGTGGGCAAGATGCTGCTAGCAAATTTTTGGTAAATAAACTTCTTTATTAAAAACTATGAGCTCACTCCTGTTTAAAACTTTCAGGATGCTTCACATAAATATATATATATATTTAAAGTACAGGCTGAAAGGCAGGCTGTCTGGCTGTGGCCATTCAATGGTGTAATAGCTCTTTAAGAAGAATGATATGCAGTGGTTGCTTCTGCTTGGTGAACCGTACAAAACTGAAAGGAAAAAACTAGAAAACCAGTATTGCTATGTTATGCTCTGTCAGAGTCCTAAAAAAAATTGCACACTTGACTGAGTAGTCCATTTGGGCTCGAAATAGTCATATGTGTGAGAAACTTAAAGAAAAGACATCTGTACATGATCATCAAAAGAAAGATATATTTTTTTCTTTTGAAATTGCACTGTTATTTAAACCACTTTCAGAAAGTCAGGGCCTCCTTTACAGCTGGCACAGTTTTTCAGGTCTAATTGGCAATTTGGGGAGGCCCCTCTGGTATTAGTGAAGTAAAAAAGGTGGTGATAAAAGACCAAGCTGAAGCTGTTAACTGGCTTTGATCTGCACTGCCATCTTTACCTACATCTTCTCATTCTCATCTTCAAGTCCATCATCCACTAGGTGCTCCATTTCTTCAAGTTCTACATGGCTTGCATTTTGTCCATCACTATTAACATCAACATTGTTGGGAACCTGTTGCTGATAACCTTCTTTCCTGAAAGGAAATCATCCAGCTTGGTGTAAATCAACCAGCAGCCTGGCTCCATCACCATGATAAACTGACTACAAGAAGAATAGAAATATATGATGCTGAGGAGAACTGCAGCTTATAATTATGGGACTTAATTCCAAGGACCCAGACAATCCTAATCAGAGTCATGTAGTCTCATGGACACTATCTAATCCCAATCAAGGTGGCTGAGTGGTTTGGAGTCTATTGCCATGCCGTCTTGGATGGCGCTGATCTATTCTGATTGGGCCTGGTTGATGTTTAGATAAGCTAGGGCAGATTCAGTATCTATCTGGTTGGCTATCCTGACTCCATGACAGTCTTTGGTTTCTGGTTAGGGAGAGCAGGCCTAAGTCTGAATTCCTCAGAAATGAGATACCAGTTACAGGGAAAAAACACAGAAAATGGGCAACCCATCAGGAACAGCCAGGACATCTGGCTTGGGGAAGATAACATTGCTCAAGGCTGTTCAACTACCAGCTTGGACCAGTTTGAACCAGTTCAGAAAGCCCCTAACTACCAATTAAACTTCTAGCCAATTCACCAGTACCCTTGCTTCCAACTGGCACCAATCAGAATAAAAATGATCTAACTGTCCTTGAAATTCCCCTAACTGGCTTTAGAAGGGGCTGTGAGCTCCCCTCATCATCGTTGTTGCTGATGCCAAGGTGGTGACCCCGGCATACTGGAAACTTCTGCAGAATAAACTTTTGCATACTACCTGAGTCTGGGGTCTTTCTTCAGCAACTCTCAGACCCTAACAATGAGAAAGTGTGTACACAGTATTGCCAGTTGCCTTTGAAGTCTTCCTATACCTTCCTTCTTTTAGTTGCTTTTGTTATTGTTGGATATTTTGTCCTGGCAATGAGAAAACTATACAAACCTCTTGAGGATAGGCAGCCACAGAAAGAAAAATGGGAGTAGACGGGGCAGGCTGAGCCCCTGGTATTACACTAGAAATTGTCCATGTGATGTTCACTGTAAGGCCTTTGGGACTTGAATTGTTGAGGATGGACTAAATAGCAAGTTTAGTGTTGACGCAAACTCAGATGTACCAGGCACAGAGGAGGAAACAAACATTTACAATGAAAGGCAGCAAGGAACACAAACACTGAAATCTTAGTTACTTTGATCAACAGGTCAAGTTCAGAAACGCTTGCAGATTGATTTAGCACTGGAGTCAGCATACCCTGTCTGTGGTAAAGGATCTTCAAAGGAATATTCTAGCATTTGCTTGACTATCTAGATTATAACATTTGCTATAATTGCTGTTGCAGATAACAGAACTGTGGTGCTATATCAAGGAAATAGCCATAAACATACAGAAGCAAGTGTGTTTGGCTGTGTCCCAATAAAACTTTATATAAAAACCAGCAGCCAGTCACATTTAGCTCACTATCTACATTTGTAGCCCCCATAAACTAACTAGCAAATCAGCTGTCTTCCCCCTTCAGCTTCCCCAAGCTGGGATTTGAACTGTGTTTTATTTTCATCTCATCTAGGCTTCACTGTGTTCCTTGGAATAAAAACCTGAGTGACGTTATATCCACACAACATGTTTCCTGTTTTCCTGCTACTGCTGCTGCCTTACAGGGAAACTTCTGGATAGTTCAGTGCTACTTCTAGAGAACAGACAGGGAGTAAGAGTTACAGTACCAGGGGCCATGTACATGTTCACTCATTTACTAGCTGTATTATTCGGTACCAAGCTATTTAATTCTGTATTTTGGTTCCCCAACATTCCAGGATAAGCCAGAACTGTACTTCCTGAAACTACCTATACACTCTGGAAAGGTTAATATATGACAAATTTAAAAGAAAATCCTGGCTCCCAATCAGTCTGCAACACAACAGCTACAATTAGCATAATTATCAAATGGCTTCCTTGCTTTCTTCAATCTATGAGCTACCATTAAAAAACTGAGGGTTGTTCTAGAAAATAGATGACACCATTGAATACCCGAAACTGAAAGTCCGACTGCCTCCTAAAAAGGGGACAGGCATTCCTGATGTGGAAAGGTGTTGTTGCAGGTCCCTGGACAACAGAGTTCTAAATGGTCCAATGCTGTTTTCTGGACCAGCTCTACTGATGGTGCTGATCCATGTCTCTGTCATCCAGTATGGAGGCCACATGCAGCTAGTGGAATGTGATGGTGCCAGAGACTGAACTTTTATTTCATTTCATTTCATTTCATTTCATTTCATTTCATTTCATTTCATTTCATTTCATTTCATTTCATTTCATTTAGCATTTATTAACTTGATCAGTGGCCACCTGTAGAAAAAAAATTCTGAAAGAAGTGGGAAAACTAATTGTAAGCTTACTCTCTTTGGGGATCCTTTACTGACTCTGAAACAGTGAGGGGAAGCCTGGGCAGGATCAGGAGCAGCCCTGCAGGGTATTAGCATATCATCTTCGGCACTTTGAAGTGATCACATATCTTCATTTGCTAACAGCCTACTTTTCAGACATTGAGTTTCAGCTCTCACTTGCTTTTCACACTAATCATGTCAGGAGAAAACTCTGGGTGGGCTTCTCATTTGCAAGGCTTCTGTTCCAGACGCTCAGACATGGCAAAAGTCAAGGATGTGGGTGGTCAGAAATAAGTCTGCTCACAGCAATAAAGACACTTGAACAAGATTCAGCAGACATTCTGCGTCTGATAAGAGAGTTCAGGGAAAGCAGAACTGAAGAGAGATCAGTTGAAGCCAAGAACAGAACTCTGGGCCATCTTATTTCAAGAGAAAGCCCCATGGTTTAAGAGAACACGGGAAGAGGTGTTGTTGACTTTGAAGGCCAGTCCTTGGGTCAGCTCTGGTTCTCCCAAGCCACCCCACCCAGGGAGTGCTGAGGCTCTTAAAGGCCTCTTCACAGGACTTCTGTGCACATTACAGAGTTTAGCATTTACCAGTAGGCTAGGTAATTTGGCCCTCATGACTTGTCAATGATTTCAGAAGTCACCAGAGCTGAATGGATGAAAGCCTTGGGCCTGACCTGATGGTTCAAGTTCTCAGCTTCCAAAGAAGCCAGCCCTAATGGACAAGTCAACCATAGATAGTCTTGAAAAGTTATCTAAGCAACCTGTCCAAGAAAGACCTGTCCCTACTGTATGGAAAGGTATCTGTGTCCCTCTGGTGCCCTTAAAGACATCACCAAATGGTCCTTTGGTTCCCTAATTTCACTTGTAATCATCAGTGCAGAAAATGAATTGTTTCCTTGCTTCAATATCTTTGTGGGCTTCACCTCAGATGGAGTACAGGAGTGAGGCAACATTATCAGACAAGCACACTTAGGCTCCTGAGTCATAGGGTTAAATGAGGTACATATTGGACCTTTCACCAATCCATTTGGTTGGAGGACATTTTACTGGCTGAAACGAAAATGCATTTGAAAAATATGCAGCCCTTTCCTTCTTTCAGCATAGTTATATAGTGGGGCATTCACCAGCCATAAGGAGGGTTCATGGTGGGGACAAGCCACACAAATGACTCACAGTGGCTCATCATCTTCAATAAATCAAAGAGAGCTTCTCAAAGAACCCCGAGCCCAATCTCCAATTACTGCACAATGCTTCAGGAAGTACAAAACCTGAACATTGGAGGGCTCAGGGCTTGAATCAGAGGCTGCCATGACCAACTAGGAGCCTTGTTATAACAAGGAAATCAGAGGGACAAGTCAATACTCAAACATCACAGGGCAAGAACCCACATCTCCATAGAGGCACCTTTGTCAGAGACCCGGAAGGAAAGAGATTGTGCTCTGGCTTCCATCAGATACAGCGGCTGAAAAAACTTCACAATGGCCAACATCAGCAAGAGTACTAGATACATGATAATTTATATGGACAGCAAATGCTCTTCATAATAATTCTGTCTCTTCTGACTCTACACACAAGCAATGCTCTCTGGTCTCCACAGGCCTTACCCAGGGGAAGGCGGTAATGGCAAAGACAGCACAGAGGGGGAAAAAAAAGACAGCTTTTCCTAGACCTGGGTATGCTCTGCAGTTTCTCTTTTTATTTATTTAAATAGACCTGTGATGGCAATGCTGAGGGTATGTCGCTGTGTCTATGCTCTTTTGTGGGCCTAGCAGGAACAAGGCTGAGAGGTCATAGTAATAGTGGAAAGCCCCGGAGGTTGTATTGATTCAGATGAAGGCAGCCTTCGAAGCCCAGAACAGGATAAAGAGGAATTTCTGCCCACCTCCCACATACCTGGCTTGGGGCACAAAGTTCACCTCAAGGAGGAAAGCAAAGCAGAGAAAACATGTCCTGCTGGAGCCTGCATGAGAACCATGGCTCATCCTCACAGCAGACACAGGGGATGGACCATGAGAAAGCTGCCATGCTGTCTACAGTTGACCAATTAACACTGAGTGACAGAGGACACAGCAGCAACAAGGACTTTTACTCACCCTGGCACATTTCAACAATTGTGTGGTCTTGTCAAAGGATGTCCGAACGTGCTTTGGCCCTGACGGAGCTGGAAACGAGGCTGCAGAGGGGCTGCCAGATAGTTGCCTCCTGGCTGGATCGTGCCTTTACAGTGCACTGTATGTGCCTGTGTCCACATCACCCTGATGGCGACAGCTCCAGCTTTACTGACCCCTTCTACTGAATCTTATGCTAATAGATGTGTGATAAGGAATGGAATTACTGCCCCTCTGGGAAATTGGGCTGTGCACCTGCTGCAGATTTGTGAGCTGAGACTTCTTGGGCTGCAAGGGGATGGGTCTTGGAAGGGAAGATGCTGCCCTGTTTTGGGCTGTTGGTAGGCCAGTGCCAGGAATGATGCAATCCCACAAGAGGCTGGACATCCCTTAAAACCCAGAAACGTTTACCTGTCATAGGTCTTTCTCAAGTACCCTGGCATAGATGTGGGTTAAAGCTATTTGTCTGAGCCATTAACCCTAAGTATCACGGGCAGATTTAACATGCATAGGAGCATTAACTAATATGTAAATGGAAGGCAGGTGACCCTTTCTATTTAAGCTCATGAGGATTCTTCTTCACTTTGGAAATTCCCATCAACCACCCATGGTAACCAAGCAACCAGTCTAAGCCAATAGCCCAAATGGCCCCCACTGGATCTGTGTTCCATTGAGCCCACATCCACACAGTGGTATGCAGCCTCCAGCATCCTCTGCATGACTCTCATTGGGCATCTCATATGATGTACTACATCACCTCATTCCTGCCCGTCATCCAGGCTTGGTGTAGATTTTCCCCATACTTGGGCCCAGAAGTGTTTCAGGTTCAGGCTTTCTGGAGTGTTTGCATACACATGATGAGATGCCCGGGAAAGGGGACCAATACCTAAATGAAACTTCACTGTGTCACACACACCTTACATACCCTGTATTTTTGGTGCATTTGTGTTGTGACTAGCCTGAGGTCGGTAGCAGAATTTAATACTTGCAGGATCATGTGGCTACTCAGAGTGTATCAGGTCTGGGGGACAGTGCATGTTTTTTGGATCAGATATGCAATAGTGGCATTATCTCACACTCATGAGAATTATGCATGTGGTAGTTGCACGGCATTTGATCTCATGCAGGACGTTGCAAGGCTACAGTTAGGTAGATGGAATTCAGGAAGACTCCTCCTCCAAGGCTATAGAGTTAAACATGAGCAATCTGGAGCAACTCTGGAGGGTATGCGAGAAGAGTCAGGGGGCTGTATAGAGACAGAGGCCCGAGTGAACCACCAGTGGGACCAGGACAGGACAGCAAAACCCACCCAACTCAACTTGCTAGCGCACACAGGAGCTCCACACACTTGCTCGGAGTATGACAATCAGCTAACCTCCTAGGTTCCAAGATAATCACTGGCCAGGTGCTGTGCCTGCACTACCAATCTGGTATCTTATTACTATGCGGAGCCATACAGAAAGCAGCTCTGCGTTCCTTGAAGGAGGGGCAGGCCCTGCTGTGCTGAGATGCTGTAAGGTGCCACCTGCCATAAGCACTCATTGCCCTCTCTGCAGCTGTGCAAATAGACCCTGACATTCCCGACACTCAGTGGAGCCTTGTATGCAGTGGGTGGGGCACACGTGGGTGGGCACACGTGGGTGGGCACACGTGGGTGGGCTTTCTCTGCAATACTTTCTTAGACTGTGAAAATGCAGCTCGTGTGTACTAAAGAACATGGTACACTTGAAATTTCATAAGGCAAATTTCCCCAATGGTATCAGGGGAACCTGAAACAAATTCCCCAGAAGGAGATGTGCATGTATTGGTTTTGTTGTTGTTGTTGTTTTATTTGAGACAGAATTTCTCTGTGTAGCCTTGGCTGTCCTGGACTCCCTTTATAGACCACGCTAGTCCCAAACACACAGATATCTGCCTGCCTCTGCCTCTTGAGTGCTGCAATTACAGATGTGTCTCACCACATTGGGCTGATGTGCATGTATTGTTCGCATTCATTTACTGAGACACAGATACACAGACACAGACACACACAGACACACACACACACACACACACACACACGCTCAGATACACAAACATGCACACATGTATACAGTTCTTTCAGAATGAGATGATGGCCCTCTTGCAGTTTTGTTCCAGTGTGTTCTCAAAGATCCCAGCCCAGGACATGCCTCCAAAGCCAGCCCCTGACATTGTGGGTAAGCCACTTACCTCCCAGAGTCAAAGTAGGAGTCTATGTAGGAATGCGGGGCACCGGCCACAGCGAAGTTACTGCTTCCCGTGTCCACAAGAATCTGCAGCTTTTGTTTTTTAAGGAAAAAAAAAATGGAAAGCTTCAAGTTATTTGAAGAAGTATCAAGCATAACAGCTCCTGACTGGCAAAAACCAATATCTACTGATTTAGGGAGAAATATTGTTAGGAAAGAACATAAAATTATATGAAAAAAACTGGTGCAGCCCAGGAAGACATCACTGCAACAGGAGCTGAGCAGGATCGGCTCAGACACACGGGAGCCTCCAGACAGGTCTATTACACAAAGGGGCATTCCAAGTCACTACGCTCGCTAGCGTGGTCACTTCCTTAGTCACTTCTGGGATTTGTGCAAGTTCAGCCCTGGCTGGAAAACTCTTGTTTGTTCAAATATTTCTTGGAGTATGAATGCCAATACAGTCTCCTTTTCCCAGGAAACAGGTGCCTCTTTTTCAGCTTTATTAAACTCTAGTTTGGGTGTAATGAAAAGGCAGTGGTGGTGGAAGTCTGTAATCCCAGCAGTACAGAGGCAGGAGAAGGAGGATGGCGGGTTGGAGGCTAGCCTAAGCCACACAGTGAGACCCAGTCTCTAACAAAAGTCCAACCCGCCAGAACTCTGATGGTGTGTCTCCGCAGGTGTCACACCCAAACCACGACATCCCTAAAACCCCGATTGTCCCTAAATGTCCCATGTGTTCTCTTTGCCCCTCTTCCCTGGGAGAGAACCACTTCCTGTCTCCTATTAAAACAGATGAGTTTCACCTGTTCTTGAACATGCTGTAGCCATGAGGTTTTCTTCTACTCTGCCCAGCTGTGTTTGAGATTCCTACATGCTGAGGAGTATCTGTTCTTTTCTTTCTACCATCAGGTTGTAGTCCATTGCTTGTTTCTGCTTCTCTGATGGGCAGCTGTGGTGCCTCTAACACCTGGCTGCCTGGACATCTGTCTTCTTGTGGATGTGTTTCTATTCCTCTTGGGAATGAAATCTCTGGGTCATAGGGTGGATGCCTTTTAAATAGAAAGCGAGGGAGCAGTTCTTGAGCCTCTGAGTTGTACATGCATGGCAATATGTTATGGTCCACTGGGCTCATTTGTTCCATGCCCTCTCTGAAAGTTGGTGGGCCTGTCTTTTTTGTTTTGAACATTCTAGTGGGTGTAGAATGCTATCTAAGTCTCTAGTATCTAAGTTACTAGTGGTTAAGGACACTAAGCTGTTCCTCTCTGATAATTGTTTGACTCATCTCACCAATAAACAACGGCTCCCCATGTGTGGAGTGTGCTATCCACCCTTTCACACCCAGCATCTATGCTCAGTCCAAATATGGACCGACTGTTTAGTAAACAAACACAGACTTTAGAAACAAGCACAGAATAAATAGTTAAAGTCTTAAAGGTTTGAACATCCAGTTAAACAAGCTACAGACAATGTTATTAGGCAGACAAGTTTTTTGCATATGGACTTCATTTGTTTATAATAAAACACATAGAGTAAAAGCAGTTACGAAACAATCAGGAAAGCCATATGTAAAAGTTACATTCAAAATGTTTAGCTCATTTGTGTTTGGCAACCTTGAAGAAAATACTACCTAGTCTATCTAGGTGAGTCTAAAGTTTCGTACCTCAATTATTCTCTGTCATATCTTGTATTTATCGACTTAAAAACATCTTTCTAGACCTTAAAACATTTTCTTAAATCCTAAATGGCTTAAGCCTAAGTGAAACTATAACTATCTAGTCTTCAACCCTATCAGAGACTTGAGAAGGAATAAAATTATTACTTCAGTAGGAAGTGCAGGCAAGCATCTTCTAAAACTAAGAGATGACAGATACAATTTATCCATTCTTTCTCTGTTATGTTGGAGCATTATCTTCAGCCTTCTGGACCAGTATGTCTGGCAGACATAACTGTAAAGCAGGAAATATGAATTTGCTGCTTACCCTGTCATGGCAGAGCTTGGCAGTCAACTCAGCCTGCACCAAGTCTTGTCTATTTTGGACAGCATATTGTCCGTAGAGAGAGCTGGGGCATTTCTCCCCAGTAGTTAGCTTGCCATTAATGCAGCTATCTCCAAAATGAGATGTGTGATGCTCACCATCTTTGTTGAGGTAGGCTGGTGTTGTCAGGAGATGGCATGTCTCAAGTCAAAAAGGCCTTAGATTAATGAAAACACCTTTCCATGCCATCTTCTGTCGGTCTCGGGAGTTTTTGAGGACCATCTATTTACATTTATACTTACACAGTGGATAATCATACCTATCCATCTGTCTGTCTGTCTGTATATAGTAAGTATGAATAGGCAAATATTGCTAGGTATTTACTATCTGTTCAACCTACAATGTATCTGACATGACCATGAGTCTGATTGACCATTAACCATTAACTAAGCTAATTATCCTAAACAGTTTGTAATAGCAGCTTTTTAACAGGAAGTAAACCTTACATTTGGAAATGAATAGAAACATACATATGTGTATCAAAAATCTAACTGAAGATCCAGAAATAAACACATACACCTACAAACACTTTTTGACAAAGAAGCCAAAACCATACAATGGAATAAAAGATAACATCTTCAGCCAATGGTGCTGTCTAACTGGATGTCTAAAAACACACATATTAAGACTCAACAGAAAACCAGACACACTAAATTTATTAGAAGAGAAAGTGGAGATCAGCTCTGAACTCATGGCACAGGAGACAACTTCCTGAACAGAACACCAACAGCTCAGGCTCTAAGAGCAACAATTAATAAATGGGACCGCATGAAACTGAAAAGCTTCTGTAAAGCAAAGGTCATTGTCAACAGAACAACACAGCAGCCTACAGACTGGGAAAAGATCTTCATCAACCCTACATCTGACAGAGAGCTAATATCCAAAATATATAAAGAACTCAAGAACTTAAACATCAACAAACCAAATGATCCAATGTAAAAATGGGGTAGATACTAAGTTTATCTGGCTTCATTACTTCTGTATCCAAGAGCCTTATTCTTCTGTATTGAGGCTTTTTGGTTCAGTGGTGTTTCATTACTGCTTCAATCTCATTACTTGTTATGAATCTATTAATTGTTTACATTTGCTTGATTTAAGTTTGGAAGATCACATGTTCTGGGAATTCTTCTTTCTCATTCAGATTTTACAGTACTTTGAAATTTTTATTTAATCAAAGAAAGCTTCTGCAGTATAGACTGTCAAAGCAGATGCTGAGCCTGATGGCCAACTGATGGGCAGAGTGAATGGAATTTTATGTAAGAAGTGGGAAATAGTAAGAACTGGAGGGAACGGGAACTCCACAAGCAGAGCAACAGAACAAGATAATTTGAACACAGGGAACTTCCCAGAGACTCATACTCCAACCAAGGACTATTCGTGGAGATGACCTGGAACCCCTGCACAGGTGTAGCCCATGGCAGTTCAGTGTCCAAGTGGGTTCCATAGTAATGGGAAGAGGGACTGCCTCTGACATAATCTGATTGGCCTGCTCATTGATCACTTCCCCCTGAGGGGGGAGCAGCCTTACCAGGCCACAGTAGAGGACAATGCAGCCACTTTTGATGAGAACTGATAGACTAAGATCAGAAAGAAGGAGAGGAGGACCTCCCCTATCAGTGGACTTGGGGAGTGGCATGCATGCAGAAAGGGGAGGGAGGGAGGGATCGGCAGGGGAGGAGGGAGGGGCTCATGGGGGGATACAAAATGAATAAAGTGTAATTAATAAAAAAAAAAATAAAAGATTAAAAAAAAAAAAGAATCCCTGAATTAGTTCATTGGCATCTGGCTCCTTTTTATCTATCTCATCTTTAAATTTTGTGTCTTTTCTTCTTCATTGTTGTTAGATTGGCAAAGCATTTGTTGCTTTTGTTTATATCTTTAAGGAAGAAACTCTTTCACTGAAACTTTTGTTGTTTTTTATTTTTTAATTTATTACAATTTATTCACTTTGTATCCCAGTTGTAGCTCCCTTCCTCATCCCCTCCCAATCCCATCCTCCCTCCCTCATCTCCTTTCATGGCCTTCCCCCAGACCACTGATAAAGGAGGTCCTCCTCCTCTTCCATCTGACCCTAGTCTATCAGGTCTCATCAGGACTGGCTGCATTGTCTTCCTCTGTGGCCTGGTAAGGCTGGGCCCCCCTCAGGGGGAGGTGATCAAAGAGCCATCCACTGAGTTCATGTCAGAGACAGTCCTTGTTCCCTTACTGGGGAACTCACTTAGAGACTGAGCTGCCATGGGCTATATCTGTGCAGGGGTTCTAGGTTATTTCCATGCATGGTCCTTGGTTGGAGTATAAGTCTCAGAAAACACCCCTGGGCCCAGTTTTTTTGGTTCTGTTGCTCTCCTTGTGGAGCTCCTGTCCTCTCCAGGCCTTTCATTCCTCCCACACCCTTCTTTCATAAGTTTCCCTGCACTCTGCCCAAAGTTTGGCTATGAGTCTCCACATCTGCTTTGATACCATTAGGCTTGGATAAAATTTTGACTTTGATTTGTAATTGGTGTCCTACCTGGAATGAATAGACAATTTTTTTATGAATTTGGGGGAAATATATATAATACAGTGGGAATAGAAAATGAAGAAAATTACATGTACAAGAAATTTGTTATAGAGTTGAATATAAATATGAAGAAAAAAGTGACTTTTAGTCTGGGCACAGGGGTCTTTTCTGAGACTAATACCCCAGCCAAGGACCACTCATGGAGATGGCCTGGAACTCCTACACAGAGGTAGCCCATGGCAGTTCAGTGTCCAAGTGAGTTCCATAGAAATGGGGACAAGGACTGTCTCTGACATGAACTCAGTGGCTGGCTCTTTGATCACCTCATCCTGAGGGGAGAGTAGCCTTACCATGCCACAGAGGAAGATAATGCAGCCACTTCTGATGAGACCACATAGACTAGGATCAGAGAGAAGGAGAGGAGGACCTCCCTTATCAGTGGACTGGAGGAGGGGCACAGGTGGAGAAGAGGGAGAAAGGGTGGAATACAGGGTAGATACAAAGTGAATAAACTGTAATTAATACAAATAATTTTTAAAAGTGACTTTTAGTTT